ATTCCTTTACTAGGGACACAGAGATAAAATAAAATTTTCCACAGGACTAGAGTCAACGAATGCTTCCACTGAAACAGTGGAAGTGGGAAAGTGCAACTGAGCAGTAATAGTTGGACGGGGACTTAAGAGGCAAGAATTGCAATCTAGTCAGAGAAATCTCCCTTGGGTCCATAGTAGATGCACAATCCCTGAGTCTGATGATGGTTCCTCACCTTAATGGATAAGCATGAATGGCCCAGTTGCAAAGGCTCTGAGAGGAGGGAGAGGAGTCGTTAGGAGGTACACAGGTTTTGGAAGGCTGGAGCCAGATGGGGAGCTGAGAATTTGTGCTGCTAAGCCCTTTCCTGGGAGCATTCCGGGAAGCGAGTGTCGATCTGGACAGCCAAAGAAATCAGACTTTCCAGGATGGTAGGAATTTCTCAATCTGCCAACTCATCTTTAATATGTCCCGCCAAACCTTGCCAGAAGGCCACCATAAGTGCTGCATTGTTCCATGAAAGTTCAGCTGCTAGGGTGCGGAACTGCGGTTCGGTGTGAATAGCGTACTGTCCAACAGTGAAGTTACCTTGATGGAGGCGGAGAAGTGTGCCTGCAGCAGAGGATTCACATAAAAAATCTTTATAAAGAGAGTGAAAAATGCTGTCATATTAGTTACTGAATCAACCTTTTCCCTCAACGGAGAGGCCCACAACAAAGCCTCTCCAGAAAGCAGAGAAAATATGTATGCAACCTTGGCCAGAGCAGAAGGAAAATTCTGTGGCTGTAACTTGAAGTGAATGTTACATTGATTAACAAACCCATGGAAGACCTTAGGATCTCTGGAGAATTGCAGTGGAGCTAGAAGACAAAGCACGAACGTTGCCACCGGAGCAGTTTGTGGCACAGGGGGAGGCTGGGGTAAGTCTGCGGATGCGGGAAGCAAAACTTGGAGTTGATCCAAATGGGTAGTTAGAGTCTGGAGATAACGAATAACTTGAACTTGAGTAGATTCTTGAGTACTGAGCATTTGAAGAAGTCGCTCGTTGCAATCTGCAGGTGATGGGGATTTGCCTGTCATGGTTCATGCAAACCGTCATAATCAAAAGGGTAAGGCCACCTGGGAATGTAACTCTAGATCTAGCGGGCCAGTGTAAACAACTAAACAGGTGCACCCGGGTACCGATCCTCGCAGAAGCAGTGTGACCGCATGCAACCGGTGGTGTGACAGAGTCACAGGATCTAAAGAGCCACCCATTCTTCACTAGAGCCACTGGAGGTTGGATGTTGCACTGCATAGCAGCCCCCAGGTTGTTCTCTAACACACCCGTGCAGACACAGTGCAACCAAATAGCATGCTGAAAGGACAAGGAGTACACACAGGATACAAGGAGACATAACCAACTGCAGCAACCTGGGAAGGAACTGCAGGGCAAACAAACAACAAGAAACAATGCTAAGAAGGACACACACAACAACAGGGAAGGAATCCTCAGGCAGAGAACAAAGGGAATACAACTGCACAGCCAGGGGGAAAACACTGAGAACAAAGACAGGAGCAAACACATACAAAATATGAGAATACTCAGGAACCAGAGGGCTCAGGCTTCTATGTGAAGACATGCTGCTCGAACACTAACACACAGGTGCAAAGGCTTAACCTAGGTTTTGGACAGATAGGTAGGAACTCAAGCAATTTGGACAGGAGGTAAAACCTGGGGCTTGATCGATGTGCACGGAAGCGTGACAAGTGTGCCTTAATACAGTGCTGTAACCCACAGCATCCAGCAATTATCTGTCCATGGAAGGGTGTAATCACACCTGTGAATGCACCCTACCTCTGATTAGATGCAAGAATCCCAGCAGGGGTACCCACAATTAGCTGCGAGAGGCAGTCCTATTGACAGCAATAGGAAGCTGCCAGCTGCAGCTAATCACAACTACCATGCAATCTCTAGTGCAGCAATCACATGCAGGTGATCTGTTTTAGACAACCACTGCCGCGATTAGCTGTGAGAGCCAGCAGACTCCCATTGCTTTCATCGCTTCTAATTGGAAGCAGGGTGCATTTGCAGGTGTGGTTTTCTGCAGTAATTTTCTATTAAACGTGATCTGATCCTCATGTGCTGTAAGTCACAATAATAGACAAACACAATGTGCGTAAGCTGATAACACATAATTCTAATTTCTCATGTCTTTATTGAACACACCTATTATACAGTCACAGTGCTGGAGGAAAAAAAGTAAGTAAATCCATAGACTAATTACTTCAATGAAAGCTAAGTAACTGTGACGACCAGCGACTTATAGTGGGACTGCAGCAGGCACTCCGACATCGGGCGGGAACTGACTACTACCACCAACATCCCAATGACACCAACACAGCGATCAGTGCCAACAAAAAGCACCGACACTGCACCAATGACAGTGGGCAGGAAGGGGCCAACACTTGGCCATCAAAGGGCCAACAGCGTGCTGCATGCTGTCCTACATAGTCTGGCTGAAAAAAGACAAAAGTCCATCCAGTTCAACCATCAAAAAAAAAAAAGTTATAATCCTATACCCACAGTTGATCCAGAGGAAGGCAAAAAAAACCAGCAAAGCATGATCCAATTTGCTCCTGCTTGGAAAAAAATTCCTTCCTGATCCTCGAGAGGCAATCAGATATTCCCTGGATCAACCCTACCTATAAATGTTAGTATCCAGTTATATTCTGTGTATCTAAGAAAGAATCCAGGCCTTATTTGAAAGCAATCCACTGAGCTGGCCAGAACCAACTCTTGAGGGAGTCTATTCCACATTTTCACAGCTCTCACTGTGAAGAAACCTTTCCGTGTTTGGAGATTAAATAACTTTTCCTCCAGACGTAAAGAGTGCCCCCTTGTCCTCTGTGATGACCTCAGGATGAATAGCTCTACACAGAGTTCACTATATGAACCACTAATGTATTTATACATGTTGATCATATCCCCCCTTAATCTCCTCTTCTCAAGAGAGAATAAATTCAGTTCCTCTATTCTTTCCTCATATCTGATCTCCTCCATGCCTCGTATCAGTTTGGTTGCCCTTCTCTGTACTCTCTCCATTCCCCAGTGTTCTTTTTGTGAATTGGTGCCCAAAACTGAACTGCATATTCCAGATGAGGTTTTACTAATGATTTGTACAGGAGTAATATGATATCTCTCTCTGGAGTCCATACCTCTTTTAATACAAGAGAGGATTTTGCTTGCTTTAGAAACTGCAGCTTGGCAATGCTTGCCATTATTAAGCTTGTACCTGGAGTACAATTAACGAAATTAGTTTGTGGTTTAGAGCTACTTTGCTTGATAAAAAACACTCCAAATGTTTATAAATTACTGTTCATAAGAAGCATAGGCTGATGTGAACCATGCCTGGCAAAATAATAGTTCTCTGAAGACATACAATCAAGAGTAGTTGATCTAAATAAGGCTGGAAAGGGACACAAAGCAATTGCAACGTGTTTAGGCATCCATCAGTCTACAGTTAGATGAACTGTCTGTAAACAGAGTTTAGTATTGTGGCTACTCTTCCTAAAAGTGGGCACCCAGACAAGAGGACCCTCAAGGCACAATGCAGAATCCTCAATGAGGTAAAGCACCCAAGGGTAATAGCTAAAGATGTGACATTCTTGTTCATGGATCTACCATACGTAAGTCTTTGAACATATAGCGTGTCCATGGCAAAATACCACGGAGGAAGCTGTTGCTCTCCAAAAAAACATTGTTGCATGCGCAATGAAATGCTGCAACTGCAATGCTACTGTGAAACTGTTTTGTGGACTGAGGAAAGAAAAGTTGAATTGTTTGGGAAGAATACTCGGCACTATGTATGACACAAAAAGGGCACAGCTTACCAACATCATCCCAACAGTGAAGTATAGTGAAGGGAACATCATGATTTAGGCTTGCTTCATTACCTCAGGGCGTGGACCACTTGCCATCATCGAGGGGAAAATTATTTCCCAAGTTTACAAAAATATTCTACAGGATAATGTCAGGATTGCTTTTCGCCAGGTGAAGCTTAGTAGAAGTTGGATATTGCAGTAGGCCAATGACCCTAAGCATTGAAGTAAATCCACCACATACAAAATGCGACTTTTGGAGTGGCCCAGTTAGAACCCAGACTTTAACCCCATAGAGATGCTGTGAAATGGCCTCAAGAGAGCTGTTTAAAACCAGACAACCGTACAAATGTGTCTGAGCTGAAGCAGTTTTGTAAAGAGGAATGGTCAAAAATTCCTCCTGAACATTGTGTCAAAGGAGGTTCAACCAGCTATTAAAGCAAAGGGTTCACTTACTTTTCCTCCAGCACTGTGAATGTTTAATGGGTGTGTTCAATAAAGACAATACGTTAGAATTGTTTGTGTGTTATCAACTTAAGCATTGTGTTTGTCTACTGTTACGTAACAGATGAGGATCAGATCACATTTTATGGCAATTAACTGCAGAAAGCCAGATAATTACAAGGGGTTCTCATACTTCTTGCCACTGTATCACTCAACGATCACTGCTTGTTACCATGCTGTACCCCTAGCAGACAATTACTGCTCAGCTCTCAAGGTACAGCTTTCAGATCACTATGCTGATATCCATAGCAACCACCTACGGTATAACTCCACATCAGTTTAAGTGTTGCTAAAGCTAATAAAGAAAATAACAAATATGTTATACTTACCTGCTATGTGCAATGGTATTGCACAGAGCGTCCTGAACCTCTTCTTCTGGGGTTCCCTGCCAGCACTGTCCTCTCTTTAAAGCCACTGTCCGCACTTTAAAGCCTCTTTTATTGTATGGTACCGAGCCTGTACTAGGGATAGATTATATTTACAGCCAACATGGAACCAACGCTAGTTGACCTTTGCCCATAGACCTTTTATAACATTCTGGTACTGAAACATAAACCATTTCTTTCTTAAAATGGTCTTTCCTCCGTACAAATTTGTTTTATTGCTCTTCACTGCTGTTTTAGGTTAAGTCACATAACAGATCTTTGTCATATGGTACCTGAAAGACAGTGATAAGGGCTTGAGGAAAATTATCAAAGGTGCTTCTTCTGATTTCATAGTCTTCAAAGTCAAACTTTCCACCAAACATTTGCATCCCAAGAAGGGCAAAAATAATCATGAAGAGGAAAAGTAGGAGGAGAAGGGATGCTATAGAGCGGACAGAGTTCAGCAAAGAAGCCACCAGGTTGTTTAATGACGTCCAGTATCTGAAACACAAAGGCAACAACAGGTAAAAAAATAAGAAAAATGCATAGTACCAAACTGGCCAAAAGACAAAATATAAAAGTTTCAAATATCTGAAATCACTTGCGCTGATTGCGTTAAAAAAAGGGCTGTCTAAGAAATGGTATGTTATTGCTAGCCCAAAACATCACCAGCGAAATGGATGACATATTTATTCAGCAAACTTGTCATGAGAACAACATGGATGGTGTCATTGCCGAACTTTCCTTCTGAAAATGCTAGTTTCCTGGATATAATATTTATTGACTAAATAACCAGCAACAAGTACTTCACTTATATCAGTTTGCTTAAAAGAAACCTTTACTGAGGAAAGAATGTAGGCTGCCATTACTGTCCTCTCCTGTTGGCTGCCTGGCTGTCATACTTTTTCTGTTGAATGCATTTCAGGTCAGGGATTAAAGAATATGTCAACCCAGCATTTCATATTCCTGATATGTGCCTGATGTACCATGCAAACGTACAGAAGTATAATAAATATATGCAGCGCTATAATATAGTACAATAGATGATGATGAATAGTAAAATAAAAATGTGAGCGCTGCTAAGGCACGTATAAGGTGATGACTTGACGCTATGTTTACTGATGACGTATCAATATACAGGGAAACAACAATAAATATGTGACAGAAGTGAATAGTTCATTAAAAATGCAATGCAGGTCCAGAAGAAATGGTGATCGGTGCTCCGTGCTGGTGAACTTCAATGACGAGGAATATTAAAATTATGCATTACCAGAAGCGCATAAAATATGCGCATATATACAATGTATCCTTTAAGGGGTCATCTGGGTCTGGACAGGGGCCATCAAGCACAACATGGACACACAGGATGGTACTGCTCCCACACAGGTCACACTCTGCTCACATCACCTCCAGAAACAGCTCAAAGACATCAGCCAATAAACTGCTCCAGATTTAAGGGAGATCTCTACCTTTAGGATCCTACCAGAGTGAAGTCACGCTGCACACGGCCATGAGGAAGGCTGGCGGCCATCTTTATATACCCATTTAGCTTCTGCTAAACGGAGTGCTAACAATTTGTAGTGTGACTTCAGGAGACTAACAACCAATAAGCTCACCATAAACTCGGAATGAGCAAGTGAGCACATGTGTTTTCTGTTCTCTTCTTGATACAGGTTAGTCACACTTGGTTTATTCTATCTTTGTTCAGTTTTTTTTGTTTGTTCTGGCATTAGATAAAGAATTCACTAACAACCGTCAATAGGCTGTTTCCAGCATGTCAAAAATATACAGGAATCGGAAACCACCCCAATAGTATGGGGCTTTTTTACATTCACTTTACTCTGTTTAGTATCCTATATGTTAGTAATGGCAACTCTCTAACACAAATTTATCCGCTTCTCCATATGGCCTGTGCTGCCACTATAAAGAAAGTAATTATCTGTATAGTGTAATTCATTTGTTTGTCCCATTAAACTGGAAATAAGAAAGTGAGCACGTGTTTTCTCTTTTCTCTTAATACAGATACTTCAGGCTGCATGTTTGTCATACTTCACACTCAGATTACTGATAATCCTGTAACATTTGGGGGCTCTTCCGGGATTAGTGCAGTCACCGTGCCACAGGTTACAGAGGAGGGAGTGGCTATTACAGTAAAGTGACAGACTTCAGGGAGGATGCATAGAACACAAAATGGCTGATCCAACATCAGTAAAGAAGATGCAGTGGCACATTGAAAAGCTATTGCACGCATTGTCTGAGATTCAGCTGCACTCACTGGCTATCTTGATGTACAAAAAAGAAGGTAAAGCAGTTCTGCAAGCCACAGGTTCAAGTGAGATGGAGACCTGTGAGTATCATGGAATACCTACAGCATCATCATGGAATACCTACAGGGAGAAGACGTATGCAATGCAGTGGACTGAGGTATAGCATACCTTCTCCAGGTCAAAAAACAGGTTTTGTCTTTGATAAGTGAAAGCAGCTATGAAAATCCTAATATAAGTGAGGTGAGAGATTATGGACCATCTTTTCAGAAAGGACAAACCCTCACAACCGACAAAATGTACGTAGCTCATATTAAGGGACATAGCAGCATACCTGCCAAGAAACAAGTTTAAAATTTATGGTGGCATATATTAGTCTTGGACTTGAAATTAACTACAGCAATATCTGTAAACAGATTTGTTCAGATGAAGGTGTAAAGGAAAAATTCTCACAGCTGTGAACTGTGCTAAAAATAATAAAGCCTGGAACCTTTAAAGAGATATTAATTAATTAGGAGGGTCTTTCTGTAGCAGAGCCCAGAAGGTTTTTATGCTCACAATTCTGCAACAGTTTGTTTACAGGATCATGGGACTAAAGCAAAAATTAATGTGGTCATCTCAACAAGTACATAGGTGCTGCTCTTGTTTATCATAAGAACCCAATACAAGGAGTATTTCTTCACATGTTATACCAGGGGTTAAGTGAAACACATCGTGATATTCAAAGGGATATCAAACCATACATTTCAGACTTATCAGTAATTGATGATTCTATTCTAGAGAAAGTTACCAATGCAGCCCAAACAGAAGCAGACAGGCAAGTCAGACTGAGTGGTACTGTTAAGTCCAAATTAGTCATAAAATAATGTCACACAGGCAAAAGGAAACAGAAGTCATAGACTATGGCAATACCACCCATGCTTCACTTGTAGAATTAACTGTGCATGTTTCTACCATTGCAAAAAAATGTGCAATCTTTAAAGCAGGCAAGTGCAGTGAGAAATTTAGAAGATGGACCAACAAGGTTGTCAGATTATAATATTAATAAAAGAAATATGCAGTGTTGTAAACAATGTGTGAACCAAGGAAAATAAAAATGTAGGCAATGCTCTAACTCTGGACAGGAAGGTCATATGGCAGGAGGGTGCATAAAAAGAGATAAGTTGCCAGAAAATGAGAAAGGGGCACAAGTGTTGGACAACCAGTGACCAGCTATGATAAAAAGTCCCAAGTCACTGTAAAACCTAAAGATATCCTTTACTCACCTTGCTACTGTGAGTCAAAAAAGTAGCCAGACTAATACGGAGCAATCGCTTACACACTTGTAATTTAGGAGGGATACCCACAAAAGTACTAATTGACAATAATTCCCAAGTAAGCATTGTGGCTGCAAGATGGGTTAAACAACACCAGAAACAAGCTGCAATTCAGCCAATTGACAAACTTTTAGGAAAAGACAACAAGCTAACCATCACAGCAGAAACCTTTGCAAAAGAGGAAGGGGAAATTGGAAGTTTTTCTAATTTAAATCTTCAGATAAACTTGATGGATAAGACACAAGTACAAAAGTCTTATAACTTCATACCAAAACCCCTGTACAAGGAAGTAAAGGCCTACATAAATAGGCTGTTGGAAAGGGGATAGATATGAAAGTCCAAATATCCTTACTCCTCCCTTGTAGTTTGTGTAAGAAAAAAAAGATAGGAGCTTGAGACTATGTGTAGAATTAAATAAGAAGACTATGCCTGACAGACACCCCTTGACATGAGTTCAAGACCTGAAAGACAATTTGTACACATGGGATCAAGCTGAGAGCAAACAAGTGTGAAGACAAGTAAGATTTCTTGGTGGACTTGTTTCAGGCAATGGTATCAAATAAATCCAAAGGATTCAGAAGCAGTGGATGCAGTTAGAAAAAGAACACCAAAGACAGGTGGGTGAAGTGAGAAAATTACTTGTATTACTTCTGTTTTATACAAAATTGTTTAAGTATAGCAAAACCCCTTTATGACTTACTACAAAAAGGATATGGGGGGGACAAGAAAGGGAACTACAGTAAATGGGAAAACACCTGTAAAACAGGGAACAGCTCAACAGTTGCCCTCTGGGACACCAATTCAGTGGATGCCAGAGTACCAGAAGGTTGTTGACAAGCTAATATTGATATTGACCAAACCCCTAATCCTTGCCTATCCTGACTTTAACTCACCATTTGTATTACACACTGATGCATCACAAGATGGTCTAGGCACAGTGCTTTATCAATGTCAAAAGGCAAAATTACGCTAGGTTCACGAACACTAACACCAAGTGAGAAAAACTGTCATCTCAATTCGGGAAAATTGGAGTTCCTAGCTTTAAAGTGGTCCCTTTGTGATAAGTTTAGGGACTGCCTGTACTATGCTCCCTTGTTTACGGTCTATACAGACAACAAACCATTAACATATGTTCTCAATACAGCAATACTAAACAGTGCTGGACACCTCTGCTTAGGGGAATTAGCCGATTTCTGCTTTGACATCAAATATCGCCCAGGTAACAAAAATGCAAATGATGATGCATTGTTTAGAAATCCATTATGCAGTCTTCAAGATGAAAAAGAGGAACAGAAATTAGAAGAAAAGTCAGCCACACAGAGTTGTACTCAGGAACACAGGCAGGAACACATGGGAGATCATAGACCATGCAACGACAAGGAGGAAATGACCTAAGTTGCTAAAATAGTAAAAAAGGGCTGGCTGTAGGCTGGAAGTAATGAGGAAGGTAATGGAATCCAGGTGGGTCACTGTGGAGACAACAAGTGGCTGGTAATTAACCCACAGCTGAGCAGCTTCTGAGCACTGAAAGACAAGAGCTGCTTGTTAAGTAGCAGGAGCCCAACCCTGACAGTACCCCCCTCCTTAACTATACCTCCCCCTTGGGGGGGCACCAGACTTGAGAGGGAAACAGAAACGGAAAGAACAGAGGAGGGCAGAAGCATTTACATCTAAGGATGAAACCCAAGAACGTTCTTCCAGAATGTAACAGTTCCAGTGAACTAGATATTGTAAGAATCCACAAAACCTATAGGAGTCAATGATAGCTTGTATCTCATATTCCTCATGGTTGTCAACCTGAACCGGGTGAGGGCGTGGTACGGAGGGGGCATAGTGGTTACACACCAAAGGTTTTAATAAGTAAACATGGAATACATTGGAAATATGCATGTTTGTAGGAAGATCTAATGTGTATGCCACT